AATTTTGCCTGTACTTCATTTCCATCTAAAATATAGAATGAATGGAAACTGAAATCCGTATACAGTGGCTGAATAGTCATAAAAAGGTGTATGTTGGCCAGTTCTCCAGCTCTTTGCCCCACTTCCTGAGATAATGAAACATCCATAGTTGGACCTGAATCTCCATCAGTAGTCCTCCATTCGAGGTGCTTGATGTGAGTTGAAGAATTTCAAGGAACATCACAAAATGCACTTATTATGCAACCTATACATCAGTTAAACTCACTTTCAGCAAGCAAAGATGACACCACTGACTCAGCTCACGAGAGTAAAGATAAATTAGTGGTTGTTTGTGAAGTGCTCAGAGCAGAGTGTGATAAAGTGCAAGGTCACATGTTGAAATGGGAAGAAAATAATAGTGAATTATTTGGGCACAATCCATTCTATCCAATAAATGAGGGAAGGGTATATTGAAAGAATAGTTTATGATCCAATAATGCAAGGCCATTGAAAGGTGCCTTCACAGAGGGGCACGTTAAGTTTGCATGGATATTTTTAATTCTGACCTCTTCTAAATGTTCTCATCTTTCCTGATCCTTAGGCAATAACCATGTACATGTCTGTTTCTGTGCCATTTCATAGGTTTTCATTAAAAGAAAAAGTATCTACTTCATATTACACAAAGATACATAGATGCCATTTATTTCATATTACATATCATTATGACTTTCTAATTCCCTAATTTGTTGAAACTGCTAAACATCTAAATTCAAAGTATCCTTAACAGATACACACTCCAATTACCCAAATATACCTGATATATGTATTCACTATGTACCCAACTCATTATGGAATTAGTGTATAAACAAGCTTAAATAGATATAAGAAATTAGGCATCCAATTGAGCAATTTCCCCTGATGCTTGCTTTTTCTAACCATCTGGTCTACAACATAGTGTTATTGTCACATAAGCTTTTTTTGCCTTGTGACTTCCACTTTTATTTACATATTAAAATGTGGGTTTAAATAAATGACTTGATAAAGATCAGTTGAAAATCTGTGGCACTGCCAGGCACCACATCTGCATTTACAAATCCCTAGTTGGTGTTTTTGGTCACAGTAAAATCCCTCCTTCCCTTTATTACTCAGTAGAATTCAGTTCTTACAATATCACTCTTATAAAATTTTGTTAAATCTTGTGATTTTATAAATTTATATAGCAAGAGAAATGTTTTTCCAGTAGCAATATTGAGTGAAATTAAACGTTAATTCCTGTCTTCCTTTCAGCAGGATCGAATCTCCAGCTCAGCTGTATTCACTTCAATGCACTGACTTTACTTCCTATAGCATTTTAACTGGTCTAAATTTTACTTCAAATTTTCATTCTGTGTACATCAGCACCTGTGAGAAAAGGAATGTTCTTCATGTACTTGTTTTTATCTGGGGGCTTGTTCCAGTGCAAAGCTAAATCCTCTTAAACATTCAGTTGGTTCCCACCGCTTTTGATGGATACCCTATACTTTGGGTAGCTATGAATAAAATCTTTATCCATCATTCTGATCTCTAAATTTTTTATATATCAGTGAATTGATTATTCTAGCAAGAGGTTTTTCATTCTAAAGTGTTACAATACAGTGCCCTGTAAAATTTTCACCAATACAACATACAGCAAACCAGAGTATCACGGTGTAAGAGATGTTAGGCTGGGGCCATCTACTGGTTGTGTTGCTCAGCTTTTATTGACAGATTCAAAAACCACTTTACACATGTAATTCTACTGTAATTATAAAAATAACAGCATATATTAATACATTAATCACCTAAGTATGTGATGTTTCTTGTGTAATATTTGTTTTTAAGTTTAAATATTCCATGAAATTAATATGGCCAATCATAAAAAGAAAAAAGAATTTATTTACTTTGCTTTCATAAACAAAATAAAAATAGAGGTGAAGGGGCCTAAAAACACTCTCACTTCCAGTAATATCAAAAAGAAAACAAGGAATAAAGCAATATTAGTGCCAAGACTTAAACAATTTAGTTTAGACAACTTTAGTATTATTGCTGTGATGAAGAGGGTAAATAATTCTTATTGCCTTATTTGATGCTTTGTAAGATTTTACCCTGAATTTGTATGTGTGTTCTAAAATATCTAAGATGAACTGTGCACAATTTTCTTGGGATTAAAGAAGATCTGTCAACTTTATGATGTTCTTCAAAGGTTTTTATTAAAAATAAATTCAGATTAAAAAAGAAAGTAGCAGACAAACAGAAAAATAAAGCCTTTAAAACCAGAAGTTCTATAAATGAGCTATTATGAAGTAAGAATAATCCAGACAAATTAGTTGGGAGACCAAAAGTATATAATGATGCTGTTAAGTATGTATTTACTCATTTATTATATGATAATATTGATAATTATTTATGCTGTAATTTAGTCTTATTTCCTATTTTAACTGTCTTCAGGAGCAAGAGAGAGCATTTTACAGATTTTACAAGTTTAAGCGAGATCCTTTGCACCTATTAAATTACTATACATATACATTTATGTATATGTATGTATACACACAGAGACACAAAAATATATACATATTAATTCATTATTCTGATGTCTATACATACATATACCTGCATGTATATATACATATATGAGCATATATATATACACACATATGCAACATATGTATATTCATCTATATCTGTATATACATATGCACACATGCATGCACGCCTATATATCACACCTAACATCAAACATGTACATTGTACACTCTTGGTTAAACAAAATCCTCTGTTGGGTCATAGTTGTACTGGGATTAAACATTATTCACATTTGCCCTCGGTAGATCCATCAGCAGGAGAGACTTTCTAACAGGAGCTGTAAGTGGCAAGTAATTTTTTCAAGAAATGCAAATTGCAATTTAAAACGTTTAAAAGGCAGATAAACAATAAGACTTCTAAGCATAAACAGGAAAGTGTTATGTATTGCAGGTTTGGACACCAGACTACGGGAGCTAAAACTAGGAAGACATTGCCGCCACCACCACAAACGAAACTGGTAGACACACCTGCAAGAAAAAGAAAAAAACTGGTTTAGGAATTAATCCAGCTAACTGTGATTTTACACCTCATTCATAAGACTAATAATGCATTCTTTGCCACACTAGAGTACCATTTGTCATGCTGCTGCAAGTTCACCCAGGACGTCTGACTTCAAATTGCCTACAAGATAAGCATCTTTTCTAAAACACTTGTTCAGGCTCTTTCTGTCATCAAGGGAAGAGAGATAGGCAGTACATGAAAACCATTTGTTCACATATGATATTATGGGTTTCTAAAAGACACTCAGGGCTGGGTGCTGTGCTGGTTTTGGCTGGGGCAGAGTCAATTTTCTTCACAGTGGCTAGTATGGAGTTATATTTTAGATTTGTGCTGAACACAGTGATGATTAAATAGAGACGTTTGTGTTATTGCTGAGCAGTGCTTACACAGAGCCAGGGCCTCTTCTTGCTTTTCATACTGCCATACTGGCAAGGAAGTTTGGGCTGCATGGGAGGTTGGAAGGAGACACAGCTGGGACAGGTGACCCAAACTGTTATTCTGCACCGGTTGAGAGGTATTTGCTGAGGTCATAGAGCCTATTTTGGCTTCCCAAAGCACATTTTCAAAAAACTATCTTTTCTCCATTTGAACCACTAAAGTCAGAACCCTCTGAAGGCGTCCTGAAGAGAACCAGAATATGATTGCTGCCAAAAAGGTAACAGTTTGCAGGTTTGGTCCTGCAGTTCTTTGATCATGGTAATTTCAAGCTTTGACCTTCCTGTCAGTTTCTACTACCAAACTCCCAAAATGCCTGCTCAAATAAACATTAGTGCATAATAATCTCATTTTTATGTCTACCTGGCTATGTCAAACACTTTGAAAATTTGGTTCTTGAGACTATCAGCAGCCTGATGAAGCCTGTCACAGTTGCAGGCTTATCACTATCCTGAAGTACTACCAAGCAATATGCCAAGTAACAGGAATTTTTCCAGACTGAAGAACTCATGTCCTTGAAGTTGTTACTGTAGATATACATGTAAGCAATACAAATACATGCATTTGAAAGCTCACTACAACATAAGCTTACAATTGTTGCCAGCAAGTTGCCAAATATTAAGTCTCTCTCAAAGTGCAAATTAAAATCTTACATTCTATTAGTATAGCTCTCCAAACAGATGATTCTTTTTAGTTAAATAATATGTTTTCTTGTCTCTTTGACCTCATTTTTTTATGCCACAGCAAGACTGCTGCGGGTGCATTTAATGTGACCACAGGAGTCAAAGGCAGCAAAGGCCTAGCAGCTAATTCATTCTGCTCCTTGATACCACACTGTTCCTCCCTGGAGTGAAGTAAAGCTCAGATGAAGGCCTTTCACCAGATCTACCAGAAGATTGTTTGACCCTCCATCAAGCCTCTGAAAGGAAAACCGTTCTGCCCTTCAGCATTTGCCTTAAATTCAGCCCTCTGCAGACAACATTCTTCCCTCTTAGGTTTTACATTTTAATATATACAGAGTGTTGCCTTTTCGGACAGACACACTCCACACTCCAACTAATTCAGTCCCTCTTCACATTCCATCCTGGGCTTCAGTGTCAAGTCGAGGCTTCCACTTTCCGGGCATTCCAGGCTCCGCAGTGCTGGGATGTCCTTCCTACCTCCAGCAGCCTTCTCTCCAGAAGCCACATGAGGACGTGCTTAGAGAAGTCCTACGTATCATGCATGCACAAAACAGCCACGTTTCGCCTTTTAATCTCCCAGAAAGCATGGCAGGTGGCAGCTCTCTCGGCTACCTACTCCAAGCAGGACACTCACTACTTCAACTTCCAGCCTCTGGCACCAGGAGGAATTCGCGGACCAAAGCGAGCGGCCGGGCCGCGCTCATTGGCTGTGATGCGGCGAGCGGGGCGGAGCCGGGAGAGACCACAGCGCTGATTGGCTGCGGCGCGGTGAGCGCGGGGTGGGGTGCGGTCGAGTCGGCAGCCGTTAGCGCGCGGTTTGAACATGGCAGCGGCGGCCGGCGGCGCTCCGGGAGCGGGGCAGGGCCGCGGCGGTCCCTGCGTCTGTTCGGCCCCGCTCGCTGCGGTGGAGGCCGTGGCCGCGGACTGGATGCTAGAGTTCGCTTGCTCCTGCCTGTGCCGGCGCTTCGGGGATAGGAGCGGGGCGGAGTTCCGGCGCTGGAGCGACGTGGCGCAGGGTGAGTGGCAGTGGCGGCTCCCGGGGTTCTGCGGGCGCTCGGAGCTCTCGCACAGCCGCTCCCGGGCCGGTGTGTCCTGACTCCAGCAGCGCTGAGGAGATGGGTATTCGGCTCTTCAGGAGATTCTCGGAGCACCGGGTAACCTGCTGAGGCCGTTTGGTGGTGTCGGCAACACTCGCTCACGGTGTCAGTGGAGCAGTGCACGCCGAGTTTTTGTTTGCTTGTTTAATCTGCCGGTGTTCGAGCTCGAGTGTTGTGAGATAATCGCAGCTCCTGTGAGTTAATATTTTGATTGAATGAGACTGAACCTTTCCAAGAAAACAGTGATTACTGGGGGCTCGGTGGTGGGGACTTTCAGATGTTGAGGTGAATAGAGTCATTGCTGTTAATCTATCGTCTTGATCCCAAGAACCTTGCGTGTTCAACACGACTGCCTGTATACCATCAGCAGCTGCTGAAACTGAGGCCTCGGATGCTGAAGGGTGAAGGCTATCGAGAAGCTGAAGAGGATTTAGTGAAGAGATGCAAGCGTGGTAAAAAGCAACCAGAGTAGAATTAAACACACCAAGTTCCACGAGTTTACTTCAGGGTTATGATAGACGACTAGAAGTATTTCAAGGAACTGTAGTCTGGCAGACAAAGGTGAAATGAAGTGTGATAACTGGATTTTGAAAGGAAAAACATATATTTAAATTGAGAAAACTACTTAAAAATGAGAGTAGTTAACAGCTAGAAGCAAATGTCTAGGTCTCAGATAAATTTGATGGATTTATGATTATTTTTTTTGTGTTAGAAATAGTTTTCCTCAGGTTAGAGCTTTGGGGATATTTTGTCTGTGTGTGTGTTCTTCACTCAAGTGAATGTGATACTATGACTTGTTTAAAGTTCTGGAAGGAATGGAGTACAATGGCATGCAGAATGATTAGTAAGGAGGGTGATATGAGATATTGTAAGAGGTAAGGAATCTAAAGATAATTAGGTACATTGAATGGTGAGCTGCTAGATTAAATTATTCATGGTGCTTCTCTATGTTTGGCCTTGGGACTGTAACTCAGCAGGAGAATTGTACTGAAATTTCCTGAAGGTGGGAAGCAGAGGAATTGTGCTGAAGTTTCACGAAGGTGAGAAACAAAGGCACTGCCAGTGCAGACGCAGACTGACACGTCTCCTGAGAAGAACTGGAGGCCTGAGGACTGTAATAGCAGAAACAATTAATTAAATTGTACAGAACGCAAGGTCACGCGGAACTGAGAACTAAGAGGAAATTTTAACTTGTTCCTGCTCTGTTCAGCAACAGAGGAAAGAGTTGGGCATATTGGTGCTGTAAGATTATAAAGTCAGTATTGTATATGTCTATGGGAAAAGCTAAGCACAGCCATAAGATTCCATTAGAAAAGTAGAAATACAGAACTATTACTCTTGCATTTGTCAAAGTGAGACCCTACTGAAATAATGATTGGCTGTCAACAAGAAGGTCAATTCAAACTGAAGGAAGGGCAGAAAGGTAGGAAGGCAAAGCAAACCAGGTAAGCAATTTTATTAGGAGATAAATAATATTTTTTTTATACTTCAATATGCTGCCATGTAGAAATAGCTAGGTTACCTGGGATTAAGGATTTAAAGACAGTGTGGCAAGGTTACATGCCTTGCTTATTTTATCCTGTGTTGGCAGGGTGTTACAGTCTATATACCTGAACTAGCTTGTGTAGGTACCTACACGGCAAGGAACTGGATTTCTATAATTTCTAATGAAAGGCTAAAATGAGAAATACATTTGAGTTGCAACAAGGAGGAAAGTGATTTATGATTGAGAACACTATCAACAAACAAATTAATAGAGAAACTGCCCTGGGTGTGTGGAGGGAGAAGAGTCTAGAAAAGATTACTAAGGCTGTGTCTCTTAATGCAGTCTCTTTGTCTGCATTAATAGTGAGTAATTACTGCGAAGGACCTGGTGTCCAAACAGTAAGCATTTAAAGGTTTCTTTTTCTTTGGAATAGCTCTAAAGGAATTCAGTTTGTGTAGTCAAGACTGTTCCACTGCACAAACCAAGCACAGAAGGTTTGCTTTAAAGAGACACCCCTGGTCTGAATTAAAGTGGTAATGTACGTGCACCTTACGAGAACAGAGAAAGCTGAAAGATCTTAAGCTGTTTGCCAAGATGACCCCTTTTATTCTGTGGAATTGTTCACCTATGGTATTCTGCCTGCTTCCAGAATTTCAAAGTTCTACCTTCATCTTCAGAGTATGGTGTTCGTCTCTATCATTAAACTTGTCCAGACTCTGAAATTGAACTCTGTAGTCTGCTATGGAAGGTGCATAAGTGATCACAATGAGTGGTGCTTTATTGCTGTTCTAAGTGATGTACTTTTTTAACTTCATATTTTGGCTATGGGAATTAAAAGCTCTTGTATCACCTGTCCTCACTGAAGCCATTAGAAATGTTCTTCCAACTCCAAATGGCAATATTTTGCTTGATGTTAGCTTAGGTAATTGTTCAGGGCTATTTACTTAGTAATTTCATGCTTATCTATTCTGGGTAGGAAATGATTATACACTAATATTCAAGTAAAACATTTTATTATGTGCTCTAGTTGTTTCATTGCAAAACTCAGGGGTTCCATGCTCCATAATCCTGGCTTTTTTGCTAGGATGACACTGAAATGTGTACATAAACAATTCCTGGCCTAAAGTGTTCAGTCTGCAACTTGGACAAGTAACATGACATGTTCTTCATAATTCTGTGATTTTTTGGGGCACAAACGGAAACACAGGAAGTTTCATCTGAATACGAGGAAAAACTTTACTTTGAGGGTGACTGGAACAGGCTGCTTAGAGAGGTTGTGGAGTCTCCTTCTCTGGAGATATTCACAACCTGTATGAATGTGATCCTGTGCAACCTGCTTCACCTGAACCTGCAGGGAGGTTGGACTACAAAATCACAGAATAGGTAAGGTTAGAAGGGATCACAGCAGGTGTAGATGATATCCAGAGGCTCCTTCAAACCCCAACTATTCTGATTCACTTTTCATTTTGAATGTTACTATATTATGCTGTGAAGATGAATTACTGTATCCAGCCCAATAAAATAAGAAATTTACAGTAACCAGCATGATGGGTATAAATGCATGATAGTTCCCATTCTAAAATATGTAAGAATCCTTGTGACCTTCCAACCTTGAAAGGAGGGTTTCCCTTGTAGATGTACACTTCTGACTGAGCTTTCCTTGTAGCTTTTACTGCTTTTTGTCTCTTAAGTTTCTATAGCAACATATAAGTGTTACCAGTCTGCCTGTGGCTCATGGTTTGTGGGCATTCTGTGGAAGTGTACTCTGGAGCAGACAGATGTCTTTTGTAGTAAGCTACTTACCAAAACAAAACTTTATTTTGACACCGTGGTCTTTGAATTTGATTGAATATAAGCCTGTGATACATTTTATTGCTTCTTTGGAGAAAAGTATATTTTTCTACTTAAGTTCTTAAATATTAAGTTTTTTTAACATGGACAAATACTAATTAAATGTACTTCATTGGTTTCTTAATGAATTAAAAAATTAGTAGATCATTAAAGTCTGATAACACAGTGTCTAGTATATGTCTAGCCACATTGTGGCAGTGCTGGAGCAAGACTGACTTATCATTTGTCTTCTTTTCCAGCTCTTATCAATGGCTTTTTCAAAATACCTACACATCAGAAAAAAACGGTTTATCTCTGTCAGCTTTTGATAAGAATTGCAAAAGGAAAAACCCTCGGTAAATACTCTGATTTTTTTTTTTTTCACTTGTCTAAAAATATTTGTGTGAACTTGCACAGAGGTATATTAGATATGCTTTCGCAGAGCCTTTGGTGTACATATTATAAATACTTATAGAGATATATATTTATATGTAAATCATACATTTCTGTAAACACATATATAGATAAGTATATGTAAATAAATGACATGAACTCCACATTTTGGACTGTCTTTATTCCGCATGTGACTGAGTTGTGTGCAGGACCAGTGTTTTCTATGCTGACTGACTTAGCTGCTCTGAGTTTAAATTACTATATACTTCTGAAATTATCAGTCTATTTTTGTTAGGGTAGGATCAACAAAAGAAATCTACTGGAAAAGACTGACTAGCTATTAGTGAGCAATACTTGCAAGTTTAAAGCTCAGGATGTACGTTCCTTTCTGCACACGTAACTAGAGGTTAAAGTAGGACTAACAGAAGGAATAAGAATATGAATAAAAATTATGACTGCCCTTGTTTCCTACAGAAGGCTGTAAGACTTTCAGCTGGCAGCAGGTCCTTGGGGCTCTTTTTCACTACCACGTCTCCTCTGGCTGTATTTGCAACTAAATTGTTGATTCAGCCAGGATGATTTTGTTTCACACTGGAATTTTTGGAAGACTTAACTTTTTTTTGCTGCAAATTTTCACTGTTTGATAAAACTCATTGTAAGACTTAAGAAGCAGTCTTGCTAGCATGAGCATAGAAGAAAGAAGTGTATTCTAGCCTATCAGTGCCACAAAGGCTTGTTTTTATAAAACTAATTTCTCTATGTTGCTTGTCAGGTAATAACAGTTGCCTTGACTTATTTTACCTTGAGAATCAAATTCTAATATTTAAAGTAGTTCATTTTTTACAAATTATGAAACTTTTCTGATAATGCTCTAAAACTATATTATTGTATGTAACACTTGGGAATATGACTTTGCTGTGTGTTTTTCTTAGTAGTGTAGAGAATGACCTGTGTGGTGAGGAAGATTGTATATGCTTAGTAGGTATTACATCAGATGTAGCTGCACAGTGTACATGAAAAGCTACTATATGGTAGCTTTCCTATTTTTTTTCTAATTATTAAAATATTTAATCTATACTTAGTCTTAAAACAGAGTAGACTGTTTCAGATGCCAACTCTTTTAAACACTTTGGTTTTACAGTATTAAAATAAACTTAATATGAAGTGTCATATTACTTGATTGAAACAATAATTAAACACAAAAGTGGGGGGTTTTAATTATGCGTATATATGCACATAACACTGAAATGTCACTGACTGACTTATTGTAGTGAGTATAAAGTAATTTTCATTTTTTAAGTATTGCTTAAATTGTTTACTCATTCTTTAATGAAAGGAATGAGTTATTGAGAGAGATTCTGTTGATGTCATATAAAATGAAGGAATAAGTGGGGCTATAGTTCAGTGAACATCTTGAGCTAAGCTGGCAGTGATGTGGGGAAAAAAACACCTACCAGCTCCTCCTGCTTCTTTTGCATTCACTTGTGCAGATGTGTGCAATGACCAGACTGGGAAAGTGTTTTGAGAGTGTTGAGGGGATGACTATTTGGCTAAGTCAGATCTCTGCCAGAACTGATCACTGGTCCTGCTCACTGAGAGTTTATACAAACCTTGGTGTTGGCACAGCAGTACACTGACATGGGAAGTTGCTTCTGCCTATTCAGTGACACTCCTGTGTTAAGCTGTTTGAATTTCCCTCTTAGTTTAAGCACTTCAAATACAACTAAAACTTAAGACATGGAAATATAGTGATAGATTCAGGGAAAAAAACCTCAACCTTAGGATGGTGGTTATATTACAAAAATTAACAGTATCAATACCAAATGTTTCGATATCTGATGCTAAGCTTACTGTATTATTAATGCCAGGCCAAAGACCTAATGCTAAACTCAGCACTATTGCAAGTGGCATTTTAGGTGAACTATAATTAGCTGACACGTAATATCTCTTAAAATGCAACAGTAATGTCATTAGCAAGGGTAGGAAGAACTAGTTTCTCTGAAAAGAAGATAGTTACTTCAGGTTCTTAAACACACCTGGAGAGAGACACTAAAAATTATTTGAGGAAAAAGGAATTCAAATTATGTATAGTACATATTACTATTTTGCATATAAATACTGTAATATTTTTAGCTTTATCCTTTAAAGTACTTTTTTTTAAGTACTTTTTTTTTCCCCTCTAAGAATTACAGTTTGAAAATGATCAAACAATTTCACCTTTGGAATCTGCTCTGGCTTTCTGGACTTTACTTGAAAAGGAAGAAATTAAACTGGAAAAGCTTCATGAAGATATTCGTCGCTTGATTCAAATTCAGGTCTGTGTGACTTACTCAAAATGCTTCAGGATGCTACCTATTCATTGGAAATGAGTAGCTGGAAAGCTGCCCAGCAGCAAAGGAGCTGGGGGTGCTGGTCAACAGCCAGCTGAACACGAGCCAGCAGTTGCCAGGTGGCCCAGATGGCCAGTGGCATCCTGGCTTGGATTAGAAATAGTGTGGCCAGCAGAACCAGGACAGTCCTCATCTCCCTGTACTTGGGATACTTGGCACTGGTGAGGCCGCACCTCGAGTACTGTGTCCAGTTCTGGGCTCTTCACTACAAGAAGGACATTGAGGTGCTGGAGCGTGTCCAGAGAAGGGCAACGAAGCTGGGGAAGGGTCTGGAGCACAACTTTTATGAGCAGTGGCTGAGGGAGCTCGGGGTATTCAGCCTGGAGAAAAAGAGGTTCAGGGCAGACCTTATCACTCTCTCCAACTATCTGTAAGGAGGCTGTAGCCAGGTGGGGGTGGATTTCTTGTCCCAGGTAACAAGCAACAGGATGAGAGGAAATGGCCTCAAGTTGCACCAGGGGAGGTTTAGATTGGATTTTAGGAAAAACCTTTTCACACAAAAGTTGTAAAGCATTGGAATAGACTGTCCAGGGAAGTGGTAGAGTCACCATCCCTGGAAATGTTTAAAAAAGCATGTGGATATGGCACTTGAGGACATGGTTTAATGGTGAACATGGTGGTCCAAGGTTGATTGTTGGACTTGATGACCTCAAAGGTCTTTTCTAACCTCAAATATTCTATGATTCTGTCTTACTAAAACATAGCCACTTTTACAAAAAGCTTGGGCTATTAGCAGACTGAACTGAATTTTCAGAGTTTTAACACAGAGTAAATAGATCTGTACGGGGGACCTTTTTCTATCCAAAGTGGTTCCTGTTTGTACTAGTTCAAATTTGTATCAAAAGCTGCCAATCTGGAAAAAAGTATCAATTGAGATCTATTTCAAAACACTAGTATCTCGAGCTTTAAAATATATTATGAATAGCTTTTTTTTTTACTTAAAAATCATTATTTGTATTAGAAAACTTTTGATTTCAAAGACGAACATAAAAAAGCACATTGTCAGCTACTGGGAATGTGAAAGTCTTTCAGTAAGAGAGGGAAGCAATGCTTAGTGGGTAAGTATGGGACACTTTGCATCAATGAGAGTCTTTTTAAATGCCTGATGGAGAGGCTTTATACATGAGGTTTAATATTACTTCAGAACTAACTTTTATAACTAGATAATTGTTGGTAACCCTTAAGTATATAATAATCTGAATTTTGGAAGTCTTAGAAAACTGTAGTATTGTGACTTTTCTTGGGTTTTTTTTCTGATTCTCAGGTGAAAAGTATTTCAGCGTATCTTGTAATTATATTTGTTGTAGATTGTAGCAGTTCATATGGAAAATGGATATTTTAAGGAAGCTACCGAACTTCTTGAAAGGCTGTTTACAGACTCTGAATCAGATAAGGTAGTAACTTTCTTAAGTTGCATTAAACCCTTTTATTTTCAGTGGAGAAAGATGGGAGTGGGTTTCCAAAGCTAGCAAATGCTACCTACATAGCTTTGACTTGATTATTATCTATGCGGTCACTTACACACCAGTGGGACTTTTAAATACAAAAGGAAATTTTTGGCTAGGGGATTGGTAGAAATAATGGGTAATTTGGGGGAGTAAAATGCATCTAGCAGTTGTTTTTTTCCCACTTAATATGAAGAGTGAGGTGGCACTACAGCTTCTGGGAATTTAATAGCGCTGTTTTCTCAGACCAAAGGCAGTATAAACATACCTGCAGAGGCATAACTGCCTAATAATTAGTCTGCTGAGTTCTATCGCAGTGGACTCTATTCGTCACCTCTGTTGATTGGTGTTCTGTGTACTGAAGCATCACAGGGAAGGAAAACTCATAAGCTTCTCTAGTATGGACTGAATGTTATTATGCCTCTGCTTGGAAAAGACAACATAGGTGAGTCAGGACACTTCCTGGTTTGAAGTTGACTGCATCATTCAGAAAGATGCAAGTTTGAGTGCATATCTCTTTAAAATAATAATGAGTGCACACACTGAATTTGCTGGGGTAGAGAAAAGAGCAAAAGACTACAGGAAAAAAAAAAAAAGTTAAAAATACTGCCTGTATCTTCATCTGGTATATTAGGACATGTGTTCTATGTAAGTAGTAGCATGTGCATAACTTATTCTTCAGATACACTCCTCATTCAGAGGATTCGGGTGTTTGGAAAGTGTAGACTGTGGTAATAGTATTCAAATTCATAAATAACAATGCAGCCTGTACACAGAAGTTAATTCTCTTGGTTATATTGGTTTCTGTAAGATTCGGAGTGATTAGTAGACAAAATGTGAATTTCTGGTTATCAGTATTGATGTGTCCTTAAGGCTGCTATACTAAGTAGTCCTTTTCCTGAACACTGTACACCCCTTTCAATGGCAGTGTTTTTGAGGTAGCAAATGAGAGAAGAGAACTGAATAATGAGTGGCTTTTACTGGGTGTTTTTTGCTCCATTGACAACCCTGCTTTCAATGTTATTCATAAAGAAAATGAAGATGGGGATCTCTGGAAAGTTACACTTGACCATTTACTGAGCACATAAAGTAAATGCCTGGTATTATGCCTATTTTACTTTAGAACACTATCAAACTGTAGCATGAAGTTATATAGGCATATTCAGGAAACTATATAATCATCATGTTTACTTTCTGTGTATCCTGTTTAACATAGATACCAAGTTTATTGCAGGATTTGTGTTTTATAAAGCTGTGGTTTTCTTAGCCTTTAAGGATGAAGCTGGCAACCATAATTAAAAACAAGGATCCATATGTTCCTCTTCTCCAAAGCTTCAGTTACAGTCTTTTAATAAGTAAAATCAAGTCCTACATTGAACTTTTCATGAAAGAAAAGGAAACTGACTTCTTAATACAGGTATGTCAAAGCATTTTCAAAACTTCTCAAAAGAGTTACCTGATAAGGTTAAATTGATTTATACTTTCAAGGGAGTTGTTTAGGCAATAGTCAGTTATTGCATTAGATGAAAAGGAAGCTTTGTCTTCCCTTAGGTTGTCTTATATTCAACCTTTCTGTTTTAATTAATATGTCTTGGAGAAAGTTAGTAGGAATAAGACTCCTCTAAAATATCTTTTATGAATGTTTTTTCCACAACTGTTTTGATCAGAAAAATAGGAAAAAAGCATAATTAAAATAAGATCTGTCAGTAGTGTATGTTTAAGAGAAGCAGTTCTGATCTGGGACTGTTTCAAAAATAACGTAGCTATATATTTAATGCTTATTTTGTTTAGGTCTTTATACTTTTACGAAAAATAAAAGATCAAGACCTGTTAATTTGGCTAAAAGCTTTAGGAATGTCAGAGAAGTTAGGAGGTACAAAACTATTATTTATCGACGGAGGGGCATGGACAAAGTGCCCTAAACCATTATGGTCAGCAAAATGTCCGCTTTATTAGAAGAAACGACAGCTTATATACTGCTAATTACACACACAGACATGTGATTCTTTCTCAGAATACATTGGATACATAAGGAAAACATACTGCGTTGTGCAGCACTAATTGACCCACAGCAGGTGTCCACAAAACTTGTTCACCTGCCAAGAAAACTCCTCCTTCACCTTGGCCCAAGGCCTGCAGCCATATTAGTGGCGCAGTATTTTTTACTATCTGGACCCAGCTGTGCCAAGGTAAAGGTCTCAGAAATGCAATACAAATTGTTCACACAAATTCTGCATGGCTACAATTATTGCTGTTTTCCTGTAAATAAGAAAGGTCCTTACAAAGAATCTTGCTCAAAAGTGATTTAAAATGGACAAGAACAACATTCCTTTTGCAGTTCATCTTCAGGAGGATTGTTAAGAATTTCTCTTATGTTTACTTCCTATAAAAAAGTATTGAATTATTCAATTACAAAAGCACAGACATCTAAAGGTAATAAGAAGCAAATTTTAAGTAAACAGTTCTGAAGTTCCTCTGTGTTTTCCATTTTCTTGCCCAAGAGACTAGACAACTTATTAAATGCATTCAAAGTATAAGACAAGGAATACCTTTTAATGGTTTCACTTGACTGTCAGTTTTCAAGTTTATTTTTCAAGGCTATTTCTTTGAGTGTAAGAGGAGATCAAGGTTTGGAGGTATCGGAGAAGGCCCAGAACTGCTACTAGCATAGCCAGGCTCTCTGTTGTTGCACCCCCACTGCCTGGATGTTCGTCCTACTTTCTGCACCAACACTGCAAATCTTATTTTGAACAGAGTTATTCTAGGACATGGAGGAGACATCTTTGTGAAGAGTTCCCCCTTCTGAATAGTACATAATGGTTCCCCAGCAGTGTTTGCTACAGAAGAGCACTCCAGCTTCAGTTTTAATATCTCTTCCCTTTCTTCTAGTGCCAGATGTAGAAGTATAATCATAGAATAGTTTGGATTGGAAGAAACCTTTAAAGGTAGTCTAATCCAACCCCCTTGCAATAAACATGGACATCTTCAATTAGTTTAGATTGCTCAGAGCTGTATCCAACCTGGCCTTAAATGTTTTCAGGCACAGGGCATCTACCTTATCTCTGGGCAACCTGTTCCATGTTACACCACTCTCATCATTTAAAAAAAAAAAATCCTTCCTTATATCTAATCTAAATCTTACCTCTTTTAGTTTAAAACCATTAACCCTTGTCCCATCACAACAGACCCTGCTAAAAAGTTTGTCCCTGTCTTTCTTTTAAGCCCTCGTTTAGGTACTGGAGGGTGCTAGCTATAAGGTCTCCCCATAGCCTTCTCTTCTCCAGGCTGAACAACTCCAACTCTCTCAGCCTTTCCTCGTAGAAGGAGATGCTCCACCCCTGTGATCAACTTAGTGGACCTCCTCTGGACCTGCTCCAGCAGGTCCAAGTCTTTTGTGTGCTGAGGACCCCAGAGCTGGATGCAGCACTCCAGGTGGAGTCTCAGCAGAGTAGAGGTGCAGAATCACCTCCCCTGACCTACTGGCCACGCTGCTTCGGATGCAGCCCAGGATATGGTTGGCTTTCTGGGCTGCAAGCGAATATTGCTGAGTCATGCCCAACATTTTATCCGCTATAAGGTGGTCTACATTGCTAAACTGTTTGTAGGCAGCTTATTCTAGGTTAATGTCAAGCTTGGAATCTACAAGCTTGCAGCTCCTACTGTTGATAAAGCTCTTGCACTTCAGGAAACTCTTATAGGTTAGCTGCCCTAAGTACAGTCTGCAGATAGTGCATTACGAGAATAAAGGACCTATACCAAGAAAGCATTGATCTGAATACTTTGTAATTTCTTGTTATAACTTTCATTTGTCTTTCAAAAGAGTTATTTTTAGGGACAAGTACAATTTGAAAGGTACTGTTAACTTGCAAAGTACAATATAGTTGATTTAAACTTTTTTTTAAACTAAATCCTTTTTACCTGTTTATCTATGTGGAAAAATGTCCTCACTGTCATACAGGTTTTGCTACCATCAGCCACTGCAAAACAGCCAGTACTTTGAAAACTTACATCTGAAAGATGTAGTTATGGGTAGTTATGAAATATGTGACAATGAAACACTTCTGTGATTGGAAGTATTCTGAGACCAGAATACTTTCCAGTATTTTCATGGATGAATGATTGAAATAGAGAATGTTTTTATATTATCTCACTCCTGGAAATGTTGAGAGACTCTGCAAGTTGCTGTGAAGGGCAGATTAAGATTTCAAGACTACTGAAAACTGGATGGATGAAGGAAAATTAAGAGGAGGAAAAAGAAAGCCCTGAAGAGCAAACTGATGAAAAGTGAGAGCAACAGACTAAGCAGAAAGAATTAATATTGAGCCTATAGTGAAGCTCTCAACTTTGAATCATTTTGATATTTCAATGCTGCAAAGCAGGTCACCTTTTGGGATGTGTAGTGTTGGATGGAAGATGGTTGGCTCTGCTTAGTGCACAACTGGCAAGAATGAACTTGTGGACTAAGTTGGACTGAATGATTTTTTTTTTGAGAGTGTTTTTATTACCTCAAGTAAGTGGGAGAAATATGGGGAAAAGTACAAATCTTAGGATTGTCTGAACATTCTATAAAGAGTAATGAACTACTACTTCCTTCTCTTGGCAATGGAGGAGAAATAATCTTAGTTTGTGGCTAAAAGTTTGAGCAGGATATTAGAAAAAAATTTTTTGCCAGTGCAAGAAAGGTTATATTTACAAGCCTAAGGTCTGATTAGACATGTCTTTTGGAAGTGTTATAGGCATGCTTGATCCTCACATGTGCTACAGAACTAGATAAACTTATGAGACCTGTCAGTTTTCCATTTCTAACCTAGTTATAAAAAACAGACTTCGGCATACTTTGATAGTATTTGCAGTCTTAGTTAATCTCCATGATATACTTCACACCTTCATAAGTTCACTCATTATGCAAGTATTCATTGTATTTCTTTGTGTCCATATAAATATCACTTGCAGCTATGACTAAAATTTCTCTGAGTTATACGTTGATAAAGATCTTTATGGATTTCAATTTAGCAAGCTAGAGCTATTTTGAAACTACTTATTTTCATAGTAAAACCTCTGAAGTGTCCGTGAAATAAGCACTGTTAGTCCTTATAGAGAGTACACATTAATCCCAGTGTGACCTACTATCTAGGTATTGGCTGGCTTTAATTTTAAGGTATCAATTCCTTTTCTCACAGGAAGCCACAAAATATGCAGATTCTAAAGGATTGGAGGCAACAACATCGCAAAACAAATCTGTGAATGTCAGTGAAAATGACAAAAGTAATTTGGACACAAAGCAAAGGTATGTATTAAGGATTATATTAGTGAGGGATGTACTTGGACGGTAACTTGAAAATTGTAGAATTAAGAATAGGTAGAAGGAAGGACATTACATTCCAAACTGCTGTCCAATAGAAAATTAGCTACAAGCATATTCCCTATTTTTTTTTAAATTTGGGCTCTTCTATTATTGTTACTTTTGGCATTTACATCAAATAGCTTTGGTAAAGTTTGATTATTTGTAAATATGCAGAATTTTCAGTTTAAACAGCTGTCAGTCTTGTATAACAATAAAAACATGAAAAGACTTAGCTTTTTTTAATGCTTGATTGAGCACTTTTTAGTCCTGCCCTCCTAATTTCAGACTATAAGTCATCTCAAGAAAGAGAATAAGAAAATGGAATCAGGCTGTTATATTTTCTTTACAGCTGAACACAAGATTCTGTTGTTGATACTAATGTGAAGGGAAATAGTAATGTTGCTTGATGATTCTGGCAGTGTGAACCCTCAAAACCATTATTTGGAATATACTAATATTCTAGGTTTATTGCCTTGTTTTTCATGGAGAATATAACTGTAGTCTTTAGTTGGGATAGAGCTTCTATTTCTGCATTGTTATACTTGGAATATTTGGCATCATTTGGTTAAGGAAATTGACTCATGCAGACAGTATAGAGGAAGACATTTCACAAGTTTTTGGTTTTTTGTTTTTTTTAGAAGGATAGCTCATGACACAATTACATCTGAGAGATGTGATGAAAGATTTGTTAAAAAACCCCTGTGGAAGTAATTCCTGATGAAAAACTAGATGTCCAAAATGCCATCAATTTAAATGTGTGAGGCAAGATTAAGAGGGTTAATGGATTGATGCAGTTAGTGTTTGTATGCAACTGTTTCTGTAGAGAGATCTTAGTATTTTTTTAATTTAAATATTGTTGAATCATATAAATGGCAAGTTGCTACTTAGGAAATTATTTTTTTGTCTTTTTTTTTCAAGATTGGTGGAAGAGCAACAGTATATCACAAATCAGTCACCTGGAGACAGCAAAAAACCCACAAAAAGGTAAAATGTTTTGTTGCTTTTGGTCATAGACTTCATGAAGTTCTGTGAATTTTTACTCCATTCTGTGTTGCTTGCAGGCCTTATTCGGGGCAGAAACACACAGGGAGCAGAGTTCTTCAGAGTGAGTATTAGTTTACTTTTACACTTTCAAAACAGTCATGTCAAACACTTATTTCTAAGTGTGACTGGATTAATAAAAAAATGGTTGTGGGGGAAAAAACACTTCTAGTTCTTGTATGTAGTTTCTGTACAAGTGCAGGTTTGGTGGTTGCTGTATTTAGGAAGCTGTGAAGTAGCTTCTCTGGCAACTCATTTTGTGAAATCATTCACTATTTTCTGGTTTGCTTGGGGTTTTGTTTGCTTTATTGTGATTTACAGTATTCTGTGCAAAAGAAAGCTGCCAGAGGAGTACTGAAATTTGTCTCTTTCTGAATTCGATGCTAGATAACTTTGGTGGGAAGGAACTAAAGGGGTTGGCTGATTGGAAAAACAAGTTGTAGTGTAAAATGCACAACGTTAGGATGTTTGTGCATTTTCCTGGTAAGCCTAACTTAACAACATGGATAATGGAATATTTATAAGTAGCTTCTAATGGTATAAGACCATTAGCAACCTCTTACCACAGAGAGATGATGTTATAGTTTCTGCGTGTGGCCATGTTGTACATGGAAGGACAAACTCTTAAGATGCCTTGAATGCTTGCCACAGTTAGAACCTGATACATGTACTTGGAAATAATGCAATCTATATACAAAGACTCAAAGCTCTGACTGCTTGTTACTTCCCATTCTCTCTATGTAAAATGAGAGCAGTATGTATAGTAAAAATGCTTTTACCAAAATGTAATGTTTCATTATTATGCACCAATTTTTACTTAATTGATTTAACTAATTAATTACCTGATTAAAATATAATTCTTCTGTGAACTCTATTGTATAGAAAATGTGGTGATTTTTTTGAACAGGCTATTTTTTGAGTCCTTGGGCTATGGTGAGATATCATGTTTATTCATATAAAAAAGTATATTTATATGTAATCAGAAACTGAAATTTTCCCAATCTGTCATAACATATCAAAAGGGTATGTTCTTGTCTCATGTAAATGATAGAATGCAAAACTGCTGCCTTAATGGTGACTCCTCATTGTACTGGATGTATATTAATTCTCCTAGGTCTGAACAACTTGCAGAATGTGGAAAACCATAGAGTTTCAGCTTGTGGCCGAAAAAGACAGGTTTGTACCATTCTCTGTTCTAAATTGACATAAAATTAATCTACGCTGCACCGCATTTTTTCCCAGCTTTATTTGACCTTCTCCAAAATGCCTAGACTTAAGATTCTGTAGATTACTCAAGCTGTGCTACAGCTCCTGAAACTGTTAAAAGTAATTTTTTTTTAAAGACAGGAAATAAAACTTATTCTGTGTACTCTCAAATATTATTGTTGCTAATGCTTCTGAGCCTTTAATTTGTTGAAATACACTGTTTCTAAAGCTTAGTTTGATTCTTTTTTTAAAATGTGAAAAAATGAAAAATTCTTTCCACTGTTGGGGTTACAGAATTCAGGATATCATTTGCCCATGAGAATTTTAGGCAAACATCAAAGACTACTTGTTTTCCAACTTAGAAGGTTAAATATTTAGCAATTTCATAATTCAATAGTTTGCTCATGTTAGGTGAAAACATCTATTTACTTGGGAAGATATTTTAGTTTTTATAAACCAAATGATAGGGTCTTCTTATAATGCGACATTTCAAATCGTCCTTTGCATTCTTTTCATGGGTGAGCCTACTTAATTTAATTATTTAAAATAATGGTGCTATGTTCACTAATGCCAGAATTCTCTGTTGGTGGGAAGTACCAAAGTGTATGCCTTAACAGAAGGCAATTTGATATGATGTTAGGATAAACTGTTCCAAGCTAATTTTTGCACATAGCCAGTTTTCATTCATAATTGTTCAGCATCTTACCATGATAACTAAGGAAATTAATATTAAATAAATGCATTGCCTTTGAATTCATTTTCATAATATCTCTTAGGAAGCAATTTGGAGTCTTTCTGTTTAGGTAACAGTACAAGTTACAGTCGTACATCCATTTTGGTGTGAGCTCTTTCATTTTTCCGGTGTTCATTTTGACATTTCATTTTTTGTATAACAGGGAGGGCCAAAATTGCTCATGTTTTTTTCCAGATTGTCCTTGAGGAAAGTTGTACTTACTTCTAGTTCTTTAAGCATTTTTACTGCAGTTGAAGTACTGGTTAAATCTTCAATTACATGGTGTCCTCAAATTGGTTGAGGTCCTAATGAGAGCTCATCTATCTTTGCAGGTTAAGCCCCTATAAACAGTTTTTCACTTTCTCACAAATCCCAGGAATAGTTGAATCACTGAGAGCCTCTTTAAAAGCTACAGATACAACCAGTGCCCTAAAAAGAAAAAAATAGCAGCACTTACTGGATTTCTTTGTTGCCTTTAAAAATATAATTAATTTACTCCAAAGTATACTTGGATAGGTACCTTGTTAGCCAGTTGCTGGTAATCATGAACACTTCCATCAGGCTTGTTTTCAACATAAAGATTTAAACTATTTGGACCACAATTGACAGAGAGCTAATGAGAACTTTGTGTTCACATATTTTCATGCTGAGGTAGTCTGTTATGGGGTCACCTACAAGCCATGTATCTAAGTCTAGGGCTGATGCACACATCTTGTTAGAAAAAAATAGATGTTGTTTGCTTAGTTATGTTGTTGTATTTCAACCTTAATTGAAATGTAAAGACAAAATTTTTAGAAAAATGCATCTGATAGTAGCAAAGAACTCAGAAAACTTTATAAAAACTTGAATGAATTTTATGATTAAGAACTGTGTTTCTTTAAACACTTAGAAAAGTTGTAGGCATTTGCTGCCTCTGTGATATTTATGCCATACTCCCTGCCAGTGAGACTGCTCGGAAATATTGTATAGAAAGCAATGATAATTGGCCTTTTACACAATAAATCTGCTCCTCTGCTTAATCATCTGGGTTATAAAATTGTCTACATGCATGAAAGAATGCAATGAATGTCAGAGCTGTTGACTTCTAGAACTTCCTTTTCCATGTAGTCCCTCTTTCAATGTTGGCATTGTTTGCTCTTGTTTTGTAAATGGCATTTCATTGCAATGGTTCAGTGCCCATTTTCAGCCTTTCATTGCTGTGTTTTCAGTTAGCTGCAAATAACACTCTGCAGTGCTATTGAAAGCAAGCATACTTTATTTTCTCCTCCCTAAATTAGGGGATGGAAGTGTCACAGAATTTAGGGAACTGTTTGCACTCAATTTTATATCCTGTCCTTTGAGTTGTTTAAAATCTGACTGACAGTTTCTTTAAATTAAAGAATGTGTCTGAAAATCTGGATGTTCAGAATCTAGTCAGACTTGTATGGGGAAAAGAAAATCCATATATTTAAACCAGAAGGAAAAAAATCAGAGCAGAGTCCTGTAATGCATAAAGGAAGACAGGTTACTATAGGAGGACTGACTCTAAGGAATAACAAGATCTTTAGATATGACAGGGTATGCCTCTGCATTCTGCCTGGCAAACTCAAGCTTGCTGGCCAGATGTCGTGTTGCTCTGGACTAGGTGCCGTGATGGTGTGAGCTCAAATGTAATGCTGCATTATGTCTGGGCTTTCAACCAGCCTTGGTAGCTTGTAACAGTGCAAAGCTGGAATCTACAAAAGTGCTGTTCCAGAGGGGACAGACAGTTCGTGGGTCAGTGAGGTGGGAGACAAGTTACTGCTCTATACACTCCTCCATGAAGAGAAAAGATGACAGTCCCTGATTTACCTGTAAGGCAGGCTCCTCATTTGTATGTTAAAATGAAGAAACTTATTTTAAAAAACAAAAGCTCAATATAAGCAATTTAAAATCAAAACAGGCTAAACCAACCCTTTTAAGAGCAAATGTAACTAATCATTGCAAGTAACAATAGTTGTAATTGTCTCTGATTGAAGTATTTGAATTATTTGGTGTTCTAGGTCAAGAATAACTCTGTTACTTGAATAAAGATTTTATTTAGGAAAGTTTTCTGGCATGCTCTGAAATGAGATGAACTACGTGATTCCAATGGAATCTCTGGCCTTTTAATAAAGTTAAAAAAAAAAAACAAAAACAAGAGCCATTCACTGCTGATGTTGCAAAATATCTGTGCAACAGGAAGTATTGGAAAAAGGAAGTATTTTTGATAAAGGTTAGACTACTTTAGAGAAGTTTAGGTTCCAAACTTTTTAGAAATACAGCTGAACTGCTATCACTTGTAATTCTTTCACTGCTTAGTGAGGTTTGTTAGTGATCATAGTTTACTGAAGAGGCACTGATAGTTGCATTAAGCTGGAGTAGGTCCAACTTTGAGATGTGAAGTTTAGTCTTCACGTACCTCAGCTTCCACTTTGCATAGGTGTCACATTTTCCCTTGTTGTAGAAAAACCAGGATACAGTTCTGATCAAGCTGAATGTTATCTAAGCTTCTTCTCCCTCATACTCATGCCCCTACCTTTCAGTGCTGCTGACACTTCTAGCAACTTAAATTCAAGGGAAGTGGAGAACCATGCAGAATGGCACTCAGTTGTCACCTGGCCTATTCCCAATGTCTGAATTGATTTTGCTTTTAAGAGCAGAATCTTTTAAGGATCCCGGAAGGGTTCCAGGTCATTCAGAGAGGAGATAATTTTATTTTTTTTTGCTATCTCCATGAATGTGGGATTTAGCACAAGGACCTCTTGTGCCACTGACAATCATACCAGCTGACCCTGGGTTTTCCTGTTCACGCTCCCTTGTGCACCAGCAGGATGGTATGTATTTGTCTAATGACAGCAGCCATGAGACTTACATTTCCACTGGGTACGTTATTTGCAGAATTAAGTGATGTTTGTTCCCCTGTAATTCACATATTTCCTCGCACTTATCAGATCTACTAGTTGGCTTTATCAAGTTTAAATTTCTGTAAGTTGAGGCTATTCCTTTGCACCCGCATTTCCCTTTCTGTCCAGTTCTTTACAATTTTGAAAGTTTCAGTTGTAAAGGTGAGCCATAACATGATTTTCTAGTCTTCCCTTTTGCTTTATAGCCAACACCATTTATCCATTTGATAGTTGGAAGTGCTGTAACTTATAGGAGAAGGTTTTATACATACTCTGGTAAACCAACCTTTCTTTTAATCCACAAACTTACAAATTTTAGGCCTTCAGATTCAGCCATTTACAATTCTTACAACTCTTGTAATGTTCTATAAACATTTTTTATTCCAATTGAGTTATTCCAATTAACCCAAGGCTTTATTAGCACAGGCCTCCATCAGGCTTTACAGGTTCAGTTACAAATTTATCATTGTAGGCGCATTAGCAAAGGATTAGTCAATCAGTCCCCTATCACATAAGGATTATATACATTTAATCTCAGGAATGCTCACAACTCAGCCAGGTTCTGCTGGCTACAAAATTGTGAAGGCATGTTAGAAGTGGCCACCTCCTGCAGCAGCCTCAGCCCAGGACCCTCCTGTCTGGCTGCTGGAGCCCAGTGTGGAGTCCAGGGACCTAGGGTCACTGCTCAGGCTGGGAGATGTGGCTCCTGCTTTCCCATCTGCAGGTTTGCCTAGTAACAAAGCTGAACACAAATCCGAGAGACACACACAGAGGACACTGCCAAGAAAAGGTGCTGTCCTCGACACCACCCATGTGTGGTACCCGTGTAAGACATAAAAACAGCTGAGTCCTCTTCCCTTGTCTGTCTGGTAGAGATGTAAGTTCACTGGTGAAGGCACACACCCCCTTCTCTGGGTTCACAGGCATGTGAATGTTTGCATGTGCCCAAGTATGGGAACAACCTTTCTGCCTGCCTGGCACCCCTGCCCACATCACAGCCCTCCCATTCCTTTCATAGGGCCTTAACTTCCTGGCTGGTGCAGATGGATGCACCAAATATGAGCACTCTTCTGGCTCTATTGCACTGTACTCTTGTAAGATGTCTCCCTTTCAGGTAAAGGGTGAAATTTTCACTCATTCAAGGAGACAAAGAAAAGGCAGAGGGGGCCTGTGCCTCCTGGGTGGCAGCTCGCAGTCACTGCTTCTGGGATGACCCTCCAGCCCGACAATAACCAGTAACTCAAAGGAAAATTACAAGACTCACAAGGGCTCCTCTTGGTCATAACATCTGTCCAGCAGACCAGACCAGCATTACAATTACCTTTCCCTCTTTTAGCTGGCAGAGGGTTGCCTGACTGACCTATATTAAAACTGGGATTCAGCAGCCCCCACACATTGCAGGAGCCTACAGATGACCCTTGGCTAAAGCCCCAACAGGGATTTCAAAAGATTCTGAACCTTCCAAGCAGTGGCAGGGATCAGCCCATGGTCTGCCTAAGCGAAGCAGGATGTGTGAATCCCATTCACAGCACCAAGTGCTGTTGTGGAAATAACCTGAATTGCAGTTGAGATCAGTTGGTGGCTGTGACCATAGGAGAGGACAGGGAACAGCAGTGATGGCCTTTGCCGATGTGAATTCTGCCCAGCTGGGACAGCTATGGAGTTCTATAACTTTTACAAACAGCTTTTTCACGAAAATTGTGTCAGGTAAGCAGCTTATGGTACATAACAACAGCAAATTCAATTCCTCAGATGAAGAGGCTCGAGTCAGTACATTCTTTTACAAATAGTTCACTCTTTTGTCAATTTAAATTGTTCTGACTGGCAAGACCATTAGCTGCAAATGCTTCTTGACTCCTGAGGCCTGCAAAGGCCTATTCAACATTACCAATTTTAATTTCACACACTGAACGTAAGTAATTTCAGTGCTTTTGATCACTTACCTGTATAAATTTTGTAGTAGTTTTATGAGCAAAAACTCTGACTTTTTTGCTATTTCAGAGCAACTCTAAAATCAGTAAAGCACAGGTGATGGTTAAATGCAGAAATAAGGGAGTCTTTTGGTTGGATTTTCAGCAGTCATTTGTTCATGACATGCACATAAACACATGCAGATTTTGTAACAGTCTGGTAACTAATGATTTTTAATATGGAATCTGTTGGTGATTACAGAAATACCAGCATAAGACCAGTTAAAATTGACCATTTGTCTCCTTTCATAACTTACTGCGGTCCATGAGACCATCAGCAGAAGCAGGACCCCTCCTGTGCAAGGAGCAGAACTAAACATAAATAAATTAAATGGAACAGCTGCACAATACAATTCTCTGTGCATCTCAATCTAATTAATGTTTTTAAGTTTTTATTTTTTCTGTAAGTTAAGCCTTTGCATTTCAGGTTTTGGGGGAATAAATTTAGAAGAACATGCTATCAGACTGCAGTTTCAAGTAGAAATTGATACTTACTTTTTAGAAACAGTTTTTCTACACAGTTATTTCACCTGAGGATTCTGTCCTATGCTTGCATAGGTAATATGCAATTCAGTTTGCCTGAGGATCATACATCAGTGTGATTAGTTGTGTATTAGGCAAACAAGGATTCGAAGACATTTGTGGAGGGTCAGGTTCTAGCCAAATAAGTTGTTTTAAAATAATTTCATAATAAAGTTGCTAATGCTATTTCAGAGTGAAAAAATTGACTGCATCTAATACCCCTTATACATACACATATCAAAAAATGCAGTAGTTAAAAAAAGACATCAGAGGATATATAGAATTTGTAAAGTTTTGTTATATAGATGTCTATTTTTGTGAAGTTATGCTAAAGGAAAATTGATACTTGGTTCTCCCTCGCATTTTCTGAATCAAGAATTTGATTTTTAAAAATTCATTTTTCTTTTACCCTGTGTGCAGTCTTAAAACTCTTTGTATTGAGGTATTTGTACCAAGAAGCAACTAAGAAAGAACTGGAAGGGATTGCTTACAGATGTATGACTGCAAGTAATTTTCTCTTACTTTTATGAGAGAAAAGTCATCCCCTGAAGATTAAAAAGCTTGTAACTCATGGCAGTCAGACTTAAGTAGTAGGCTCAACAAATGGCCAAAAGCAAATGCATAGCTGTTAGCTGAGAATATGACTGATGTCACTTTCAAATGCAATATGTATAATTTTGCTTCTATAAGCATTTTAAATATTGGGATTTGTTCCTAAGCACACTGAAATTCTTTTGTTGTTGGTAAAAGGTGTCTTGATTCTCAGTCCCTAGCCTAATGAGTCACAGAATGCTTTCTCTTTTGCGGTGCATACTAGGATCAATCAAGGTTTGTCTTGGCTCAATTAGCTTATAAAGTACAATTTTGGAAAGCATGTTTTGAAGAAGGCAACCCTTGGCCCAATATCTTTTTTCTTTTCCTCCTGCAACTTGTGAACATTGAAGCATGCTGTTCTCTTTCCAGGTGATATGTGCTAATGTGTTGTAAAACTTGACTTGATAATCTTTGTTGTTGTATTTAGTTTCAAGATTTAGATTCAAGTTTGAAAACAAAACCCCTCTGACACCTGTACTCTGTAATAACTAGAGAGCAGTATGAAAACTTGCTTTTATATTTGCTGTAATGTTAGCTTTTACATTAATACCTTTCTCTGTTCACATATCCAGTATTTTTCTCTGTTCTTCCCCTAGCGATGGACTTACAAAGAAGACTTGGAACTGAAATCAGGAGTAAAGATGTTCGGAGTGGGTAACTGGGCTAAAATTTTGGCCCATGGTGACTTCAACAACCGAACAAGTGTCATGTTAAAAGACCGGTGGAGAACACTGTGCAGGATTGACCTAGCCTAGCTTTCCAGAATAACAACTTATTTTAGTCTCAAAGTGTCCAGCAGTGTTGCTGTCCTAAAATGTGAAACAGAATAGTAATAGGTATAAAACATTTATGTAAGCAAAGTTCTTCAGGTGATGTCTTTAATGTGAAGCCTAATACACAGTGTGAACTTTATGGCAGATGAACCTTGGCTAACATTAAAAAAGTTCCTTATTACTAGTTAAAAATGCTCATATGTAATAGTGACATGAAGTTCTGAGAAGTCTACTTCCTTAACACTGACTGTGGAGTCACCTATGAAGGTGGGTGAACATGAGAACTGCAAAGTAGAGGAAGAATACGTACGCACTTGTAGTATAAACAATTGTCTAGATGATGCTGGGAAGGAATCAAGGATCTAAACTGAAATCTTTCATTTTTATTTACTATTCGATGATGACAGGAACTATCATCAGACTTGAGAATGTTTGGCTGGCTCACTACTGAGTAGGAGCAGTGCCTGTAGACAGGGCTGTGGCCAGTAGAAAATGCAAACTTCAGGAAAAGCAACTACTATGATTAGAAACACTAGATCTTAATTACCAAAGAGAAACATGGAAATATGCTTCTAGTTCTAATAGAAAATCAGTCTTAGCATTTTGTATTAAGGCAGAGAGAGTTTCCCGAAATGCTTCTTCTAAAGTTCTGACTCCTTTAAAATTTGTTTAGGCTCCAGAAAATGCAGCATAAAGATGTAGATTTCTTGGCATTGATGTTAATATTCTCAATCTTTTGTGGTTGCTGTTTTAAAGGTCTTTTAAACTTTTATGTAAAAATAAAGCTATGCACCAGGGGACATGAACAGTGTTCCAGTTGCCGAATCTTCTTCCAGGTTCCTTGGCACTGAGAGTTGCCAATTGCTTCCCAGTGTAAGATTTTGCCTCTGAAATGTGACAATAAATGAGGAATTAGAAGACTGAAAATTGTGTATTTCATGTTATTGGGTTATGTAGTATAACATGTCAGAAGATTAGATTTGCTTAATCACATAGGACTCATCTAGCTCTTGAAATGGTTTATGGAGCAGGCACTATATTCTGAAGTATATATACAGGATGGTGGATTAAGTATCTGGTTGTACAGGTATTGAGTTGTATGCATATTAAAGAAAGTATCGATCAAGTAAAAATCTGTTAGGAATAATAAATGTCTACTTTCACATTTAGTTTTCTATAAACCAGGTATATAGGTTTGAGGGGCGTACTGACCCACCACTATTAAACCTGCAATCAGATTTGGATTATGGCAGGAAATACCATTTTTATGTAAAAGTGCCTGTAACTGTAAAAAGTCCTCTTGCACTACAGAAGTTGCATTATTCCTTCACAATTGTAAATAAAGCTTGCAAAGCATTGAACTCTTATGTTGAAATTACTTCCCAATTCTGTGAGAACAGAAAGAGTAAACCTTCTGAGCTCTACAAGTGATATGAGCTGTTTCATTTTTAGGTATAATAAATGCAACTTTTAATGAGACCTTGAGAAGTTTTAACTTCTGTACTGGGTTTTGCTCCAGAAGAGAGAGGAGAAAAAAAGGCTTTCTTTACCCGTCTACATTATGGCCATCCCCAGCACAGCGATGCGTGTTGGTGTTCATAGCTGGAGGCTGGCAGGCGACGCACACAGTGTGTCCTTCACGTAGGTACTGCATCCAGCGAGCGTATGGCCGGTTCTCCAAAGCACAGTGGTGTGAAAGTGACTCTGTTCTAAACTCCACACAGTATCTGCTCAGCAGAAAAAGTACTAAATTAGTTATGATAAAGCACAAGCTTTATCTTTACTTTGAATGTACTTACTTGCCAAACAGGTGGTATTTGTAAAATGCAAGTTAGACATCATCATTGCTAACAAGTCTCTTTCTGACCTGACCTAATCAAAGGATTCTTAAAAACTTTCTGCAAACTATTTCTCATTCTATGCTCCAGTCCATTGCTTTATGTATAATCCCACTTTCTGGTTGTGTTCTGTATTCTTAAATTATGTTGAAAAGCAGAACTTGGTAATCCATATTTTTGCTTCTATTCTGCTGAAGGAGAAAATGGAAAAGAGACTAAGAATACCAATGGGATTTATTGTTCTGGGGAAAATAGCACAGGACAAAGCATTATGAGCTTACAGACCCAGTAATAGCCTAATTTAAACTTCATAGCCATCTCTACTGGTAGCCAAACAAATTTTTTTATTGATTGTGTCAATTAGTTTAAAAAAAAAGGTCTCTTGAGACCAATCACGTTCAACCCACTTTATGGGTTCAGTGGCCTAAGTCTAATTTCTTAGACTTACACTTAGGACACATTCAGCTTTGGTTTAGCATTATGTACTGTTGGCTTTCAAATGCAGCTGTCATCACATTTGCCATGATCCCAATGTCTAATTCAGGACAATTAGCAAGTAATTAAAAACAACGTCTAGAACATGCAAATAAACTGCGTGAAAGAAAACCAGTAGAAGCTATAGCTTATTGTTTAATTGTTGCAAATTTCATTACATTTTTCTCTGTAGCCAGCTACTTTCTACTGAGCAAGATGACCCACATGCATATGAAAAACAGATTACCCAGCTGCTTCTTTGTCTGAAGGCCAGAGAGAAGATACTGCTCGTCGTTTTCTTTCTTTACCGTATTCAGAGGTAGTTATGAAAGCAGGGACTGAGGAAGAAAACAGTTATAGTAAAGCAGCAAGACAACAGCTGAGCCATATTTCAATTACTGTAACAGCAGATGAATGAACCAGGAGCTTGTGGATGGTGATGTGATATTGGCTGACTTTATTGAAAAAGTGGTAAAATGTTGGCAACATCAGATGTCAACCCCATTCCCTACAGCTAAGCTCTCCTTATTCAGAAGAAAAATATCTAGAAATGGATGCCATCTAGTCTGAGGAAGTAGGATGTCCTGGAACTCTGCAAAGAGTACTCTTTCCTGTTTCATGCTGAATTTGTGTTCTAGCTTTGCACAGATATAATTTGATACTTACTGAGGGGCTTATGTCCAGAAACTGAAGGGAATGCATGCAACTTAGTTTAGTTGTTTACTTAATAGAAATTAAGAAATGCCAGAATGGGGAAAAAATAATAAAATAAAAAGCAATATGACAGTAGAAAGCAACATTTTCAATTGTATTTTTAACCACCTATCTACAGGTAGCTGCTTTTTTTTTTTTCCCTGTTCATTGACATCAGTAAAATTTATGGCAGCCTTGATGGATACAGTGTACAGATAAAGACAGAATACCATGTTCATTGCCGCAGTCCTCCCCCTGGTAAGTCAGGTATTCCAGGCAGCCAGCCTTCTCCTCCAGAGCAGGACAAGGTTCCCCGCCATTTTTAGGTTCCTGTTGTACGTAGCGCCTACGTATTCGCAGACCGGGATGACACTGTTCTGCACAGCCACTCCAATGACTCCACTCCCCCACAACACACGGAAGAGCTGCAAAGGAGTATTGAAACATTACTAGTAGTCAAGGTTTCTGTTTTATCCTAATTGCTTCAAAAGCTTGAAGTATTAAGACTGTGTTGGGGGTTTTTGTTCTGTTTGGAGGTTTGTGGGGTTTTTTTCCTTTTATTTTAAAAGTTTTAAATGCTCTTCCAGGAGTTTTGCATCCTCAGATTTAACATTCAAACCTACCTGCAGTGCTTGGCTCCATATTTGATCCCTTGTGTATAAACAAACAGCCCCTCATCAAAACCTTTCACTACAGCTATGAGGTTCTTCTGTACCCTCTTCTGAAGCATACAGCATTAGCCCCAAAGGAGACCAGCTTATGGATTATCTAGACCAGAGCAGTCTGACCTGCACTGGCAGTTCCTACACCACCAGATTTTGTTTAAAGGCTGGAACATTAGGTAGCAGAACTCAGGAAGCCTTTCAGCATTCTTGATTCCCCTCAGATTGATTTCTAACCCTTTTTTCCTCAACACTTAAGTAAGAACCCGTGCCACAGCTTTGTTGCCCTGTTATACACAGGGTGTCATACTCCATGGTTCTTGCTGCAAAGACAATTGTTGGTGAAAATTTTGGGGTTTTTTTCAGTCTCAGAACGATGCAGACCCTGCTCATTCCCAACTATAGAACAGTCCACTGAACATTTGAATTTTAGTTCTCATGGACAACAAACTTCCTCTGAACTTAACCAAAACATTACAGGGAAAGTGCCATTATTTTGAAAGTAAATTTTGGATTGTAAGAAGATGCATTTCCCTCTAGCAGAGTATCAATAGCACAGGTACCATATACTCACACCTTTGATCTCTCCTAACCCAACCTAATAGAGGTTCAAAGAACTTCTCTCTTTGCACATATTAGGTGTGCTAACTGAAGGTCTCAGATGAAGAAAGAATGAAAACTGCTTTGGTTTGTATTTTGTGGCATTTTTCTGGCAACTATTGAAACCTTTAGCCCAGTTGATGGCCTTTGAGATGTTTTTGATTAAATAACATCTAGGTTCTTTAGAAACAGATGAAATCATCATATTATGTAGAGAAAGAACCCTTATTTCATGTTTGTCACTTCTAACCTTTCTGTGAGAGCTGTACATGGTAGACTTAGCATCTCTCATTTTCAGCATTGTCTTTAAACTCAAAAATCAGATCTGTTATCCAGTAGCCATTTCCTTCCTTAGTTTATTCTCTGCAATGCATCTAATAGTGATGGCATGCTCTGTGTAGTTCTTATTTATATTAAGCATGATATACATGTTTCTGAGCTAGAGTTCTCCCTTCTCTTGCATTTCTCTTTTATATTCTGGCAAAATAGTTGCTCTGTGTCAGCCTTGCTAATGAATAATATGCCAGATATCTTTTTCAGGTGGATACATACAATCTACTCTGGAAGAAAAGTTTTGCAGCCTGAATTCCAGAGAATACAGAAACAGATGAAGGATAGATTATTCCTGAGTAAGAAGCTACACAACACATGATTCTTCACTTTATTTGTCCATTAACATAGTATGCAAAACACACAGAGGTTTCACATGTTTCCATGAAAGTGAACTTTCCTTAGCCTCATCTTCAGGAACACCAAGTCCCAGGTTTTGAAAACTATTTGGCCTAATAATTTCCCCTTTAGCAGTCAAAATGAATACTACAGCTCTTCAAAACAGTACTGCACACTGAGCCCTGAGGGGCTGAATGAGGATGATCTCTGGGTGCTCACTGATGAAACAAACATAACCCTTCCAACAA